TTTCAATTCTCTGAAGGAAATTCCTGAAAGTTTGGACAAGTTTGGATTGTTGACCCGACGGTGGCGGTGTTGGTATGTGAAACCAGTTCCTGTTCGCCTGCTACAACAACCAGCCAACCAGCTGGGGGTCGTTTTTTTCTAGTCGAAGGGGCTTTCGAGTCACTTTGATCCACTTCTCACTGAGGAGTGCAATGGGGCGCAGGTGAATAACGAGGTGACCAACAGCGAGAGACAGAGGAAGTCCACGTCAAGCGCAAAAACCCCCTACACCAGGATGTCCGGACACGACGGATGACACAGATATCAAGCGGAATGTAGGGATTGTAAGGACATGAATAATGCTTTAATCGGAACTTTTGAGGCGCCGGAGTAATCGAGCATCTGGACTTCCTCGTTACCCTCCAGTAGGAGGTCCAGAATACTAGCGTGGTTTGGCTTGGTGGGGGCATTTTCTTGATCCACATCAATCATTGCAGAAGCACGCTGTGGGGCTTGTAAAGTCCAGGTATGTGACAAGAGAATCGTAATCAGCCGCGCTTAGGTTTGGCTTACGACGTCGCGCCCGCAAGTGGCGATGGTTCCAGGTTTTAGAAGGCGACATCAGGCAACATAAAACCTAAGATAGCAGTAAATATCTACCGTTTCGTAGCACACGTGAAATCCAGTCGACAGGCTAACCCCTATTAGGAAAATGCCGCACACATCGCCGCGTGCGGCGGAGCGGCGAATTACGATTCTCTTGACCGATTCCCGTAATTCCTGTGAAGCGCACATGCAGAAGCCTCGTTTGAGCTTGACAAGAGTTTGCACGTGCCACAAGGGTGAGACGTGTAATTCGATAGGAGCTAGCAAGAGCATCTAGCGGAACTGTAAGATGACCCTCCCTACGCTCCCCTAAGCTGAACACCTCCTAAATACCCAGAAATGAGAGCGATATAATGAGAAAACGGTCTGCGCTGGTTGATTTCGATGCAGCACTACACATCGGCCATTCAGATATAGAGGCCCGACCAGGGATGAACCAGCCACAGCTTGTTCGCGTTACTGGTGCTCTCAGGAGCGTTGGGTTAAGCGCCGCTCCAAGCCCTCCTGACTTGCCCAACATCCGCAGTGAACAAGACTGTTATCCATTCTTTGCGCCAGGATGTTTCTTCTTCTTCCTCTCCCTAGCGTTAGTCCCGCGCCGTCGCAGGTCGCCGTCCGCTGTTCTTGTCAGACGACGCCACCTGTTCCAGTCCACTGCATGCCTTCTGTCGTGGCATTACTTCAGTGAGTTCTTCTTGATTGACGGTCTCACGGGCCTTCTTCGTGGTTCGCTTAGGCCTTGTAGCCTCGAATTTCAACGCGCCCTCCTCATTCGGTGTCTTCGGGCCTCCTCAGTACATGCCCATACCATCGCAGTCGCTGCTCTCGTGCCTTCAGCTGGATCGGAGCCGTCTGTGTGACCGCCCTGACGTCCTCGTTTCTGACTCTGTCGAGTCGTGTCCAGCCGCAGGCCCATCTCAGCATCCTCATTTCAGCTGAGTGGAGCTGCCTTTCATGGTTCTTGCAGATGGGCCAGCACTCACTGCCGTAGAGCATTGTAGGCCTTACCACCGCCGGTACACCTTGCCCCTGAGCATTCTCGAGCACCGCAGAGGATGCCTGTGGACTCCCTCTATTTCATCTACCGCCAAGATCATAAATGTCAGACACTAGCTAGAGAGGGAGGGAAATGAGTCCTGGGCGTTATTTAAATTGGAGCGCACCTGTAAGCTTTTCCGATGTGTGTCTTTGTCGTTTCGCAATCGTTTCTCACCGTGTAAACTCCTGTCAAGTACATTGTAACACCTGTCAGCTTTTTGAAATGGTACTCCGCCGTCATTGGAAGTCATTTCTCCATTTTTTTTTCAAATCTTGAATACTGTTTTGACAATGTTGACAGGATTCTACAGGGTGCTCGTCAGTCAATAATAAGGTTTACAGGGTGTTGACAAAGTTGTCCGGTTTTCACATGTACACAGTTTACAGGTTTGGTATGCTGGCAGGTGCTTGCAGGTGTCCCCCCCCCAAAGGTGGCAGCGCCGAATCCCATCTCCCTGTTCTGGGTGGGAATCAAACCGGCGCGGAAAGCAAAGTCTGTTATCGCTACGCTTCGCAAGAAGATCGGTGAAAAGGCAGAATCACTTTGTACCTGGGTCACAGCCAGGCTTCTTTGCCATCTTCCTGCGAATTGTTCATCGATCACTTTTGGACCCGCTTTCAACCCCATCCAAACTTGTGAATGTCGAAGATGTTTAGATAGCATAAGTGGAAAAAAGGCGCAGTTCGGCAAAAGGGGGCATTTTGTAGTTTTGCTACTTCCCATCGATGTGTCAACCCATCTAGTGAGCCTTTTCGTGGGTTGACAGGCACACTGTGGCTCGACGAGCTTGCTCCAACTTCACAGGAGTTCACAGGTTTCATCAGGTAATGCATGCAAACCGGAACTAGTGGTGGAATGGGAACTGCAAAAGTGGCCCTCGTCGGCCGAACTGCGCGTGGAAAAAACCCTGCCCAAGAGCACTAAGTAGGGATGGGAGTCTGAGATAAGCTGTCCTGGCCAAAGTTTGCGTCGTTGGCGTGAAAGGATTTCAGACCAGGAGCGCGATTGTCAATAGCAACTGTGCCTATTTTTCGGCAGTCGTCAAATTCTGCCGTATATCTGTTCGTAGAAGCCTAAAAGCTCACACTTGCATCATTGGGAGGCGGAGGAGGAGCCGAAACGACCGTAGTCGCGCGAAAAGCGGCACGTCGTCCCGATGAATAATGAATGAGCGGCGTTCTGAGAGAAACGGGATCGAGTAGCGCCGATCACGCCTTGTTGAATCAACACCATATATTATTCGCATAAAGCGGATGCAATGAGACGAAGGCTGCCGCCGCGAGCAAGGAGCCCAGCCGAACCCTTGGGCGAGGACCAATACTTCTGACGGGGGTTAGGGTTGCTCGATAATACACCAAATATATAAGGAGCATACCATAATCTATAGCTTCGGCTTCTAACGCAAGAGGAACCCATTACCACGGACAGGGTGCATTGCGTATTGGGGAGACCTCCGCAAAAGGTTGGGGGGGGGCCGTATCCGGTCGCTGGGGTAAAGAGGAACCATATTACGCCATAATGGTAAGTTTTCTGCTTGGAGATGTTCCATGCGTTATGTGTTCCGTTCTTCCCAGTTGGCTGCGCTGGGGCGTACCAGAGGAGGGAATTTGGTGGAGAGGATCGTATTTAAAAAAAATCCTCGTTTCAATGACGTGCCCTCACCACAGCTCTCTTTAGGGAGAATCATTGGGTCATATGTTCCGCTCAATCGCACCTTTCCTTTGGCAGGACCCGAACTTAATAGTGCTTCTGATCTGGCCCTCATGATGGGACAGTTGAAAGAGCACGTGAAAATATTCCCAACAATGCTTGCATAGTGCGGAACATTCTGCGCTTCTGGCTAGGTAACGACCCAGTCCTATTTTGACCGCGCGTGGCGTTTTGGTGGGCCGAAGCTTCATTTTTGAGCAGTGACTCCTTAACGGCGAGAATTTTGGAAGATTTTTCACAAAACACTTACCGTACTCCAATTGGTAGCGTAAGATGGTCGATACAACGATGAGAAGAAGTACAGAATAATCGGTTCCGTGAAGACGAGTGCGATCCACGTGAGTTTCGAAAGTGGCGAGAAAATGCGCCACGTCAGAATGGCATGAATCCAAGCTGAAAAAAATGAGGCTGAGCGCTAATAGCCTTGAGGGGGCACACCTGTAAGCCCTTGTCAGCATATCAAATCCTATATAAGTGTAAATACTGGACAACCTTGGCGAAACCATGAAAGCCCCGTTATCACCTGCCAAACACTCCGTAAATTCCTGTCAAACTTGTCGAAATTACTCGTCAGGTTTGGAAAAAAATAAGAATTGGTGTTTCCA